GAGATCCTAAATTAGATATAGACAATTCATTATTGTTACATGGATGTCATTAGTTTGGCGATATTGCATGGATTATTTCAGCTAGATCAGTTAGGCTTAGGGATGTGTGTTAGTTTGTGACAAAGGGTTCTTAGGGATACTTGATACGGTGTGTGTAGGCCACAGAGGAAACACGATGCCCTACATAAAAAAAAGCGATCAATATAGTTCATTCTGCAAACCTGAATATAGGTGAATAGCATAGTAGTATCATTTAATCCTATCCATTAATCCTATCAATCCGCGTACTGCCCCTGAAAATCCAACTCCGACGCACGGCAGTGACCTGCCTGCCCTTTCTGTTAATTGCCGTCGGTGCTCTCTGGTCCTAGCACTGCTTCGCGGCGCGCGCACTGTTTGTCGCAGAGCGCCGTACATTGTCTAGCAGAGCGTAGGCCGGTACCAGTCTACCTTGTCGCAAAAACAATAACGTGCTTCGCTGCCAACCACTGCCAGTGTAGACGATCGATAAACGGTGCGCCTGATGTCATGCCGTGTATAGAACACGAATATTTAAAGTGCTGCATTGCCTGCGACTCGGCCGCGCGCGATTTAAAGCGCGGGAAACGTAAAGTCGCGCTAAGGAATGCGCAGTATCTGTGACGGTGTCGTAGCTGGCTAAGTGACATAAAATTTAGAGAAAGTTCTTATCATAACAATTGGCCTTGGTTGCCCTTTTCAACAATTGTTGAGAAGTTTGCCTTGTTGATGCCTTTTAAAATTGCCTCGGTGCCCATTCACTTTTAGAGAAAAATTCAAGGAATTTCTCACATGCCCCAAAAAATTGACCTTGCCCCTCTCGTCGCTTAATTCGATGCCTTAGGCCGGACGTACCCTGGGTACAGTCCGGTTATACCGAACGTACCCTGGTACCAGAGCCAATAAAAAAAAATCAACGTGATTTATATGCTCTGCTGCCGTAACTATTTAATATGCCGGACCGCTACCTCGCCTTACTTCCATCTAACGAGCCTAGAGGCAGTCGCCTACCAAACCCTAACCCTAACCCTAACCATATCAGTATATTAACCAGGTACGTATCGGTATACCGGACCGTACTCCGCGCGGTACGTTCCCGGCAGTACCCTGCGGGCGCTGCCCTCTGGCTATACGCTGTAGTACAGCGTTCGATTCGGTAACATCAAAGCTGGCCCGACCGCGCATACGGACCTTCAGGCTCTGTTTATGAAGTAGCAGGCCCAGCTCTATACGATCTGTTTCACTGTAAAGGAAACGTATATACGAACTTGCTTTCACTTCTCGCCAAACGAAGTTCTTTATAAATATTTTTGGAACTCTCTTTAGGTAAATAAAATGACAAGAGTCGGATATTTGAATATGTATGAT